CCTTTCTGCTTGTCTAATCTCTTGTGGCAGATTGTTCTGAAGTGTATGGACCCTCAAGGCATAGGCTTTATCTCCTTTGGTTTTCACCATAGACTTTGGAATGGGTAGCAACGCTTTACCAGAGGGTCCTGGACTGCGTCCTGGCTCGCAGGGAGATAAAAGGTCTCAAATATAGAAAGGGGGCCAGCCCATGCCTGGCTTCAAAAGTAATTAGAAGAATTTTTAAATCAGTCCTAAAATAAACAGGCAGGCAGTGCAAGGATGCTAAATCCGGGTTGATATGGTAATATTTTTTGGATTGTGTTAAAACCAGAGCAGCAGCATTCTGTAGACGGTGGATTGATTTCTGACGAAAGGAATAAAGGGAGTTACAGTAGTCAAGGCAGGAAGAAATATGCATGTGAATGATTTTTTCCAGGTCTGTATTTGAGATAAAATATTTAACGTTGGCTATGTGTCTTAAACTATAAAAATACTAGTGACAATAATAGTGAGTTGCAATGTTTGATTGGTCATTTGGACTGATTTGAATGAAAGTGGACATAAGTTTGCAGATGATGTTGCCAAGGGGGAGCGTATAGATGGAAAATAGAATGGGACATATGATTGAACCCTGCGGGACACCATACCACACGTATGAGGGGGAGGAAACTGAGCCGGTCATAGTCACTTAGAAATCTTAGCTGGAAAAGTAGGACCTGAACTAGTTTAAGGGCATATGGATGATACCTGCCCACTTCTCCAGTCTGTCATTGAGTATGTGGTGGTCTACAGTATATAAAGCAGAGCTGAGATCCAAAAGAACAAGGATGGAGGATTTAGCAGCATCTTCAGTCAGTTATTGCAGATTTTCAGAGGAGCAGTTTCTGTATTGTGGGACAGAAAACTGGATTGGAATGTATCAAATAAGTTATTGTCTGTCAGGTGCACAACTAATTGTTTGAATACACAAGGATCTTGGATGAGAAAGAGGTCTGTAATTATTCAGAGTGGGTTTTTTGAGGTTCAACTCAAGCATTTTTGAAATTAGTAGGGACAATGCCAGAAGTCTCACAAAATTAGGTAATGTATTACAGCTTAACTCATCAAACAACAATCAATTGGGATCCCTTACGAGTGACCAACACAAACAGTGAAAGGAAAAAACAGCTGGCTGGCATGCAAAGCCTCAGGTAAAGCTAATATGACATAATTAAAAGGCCTAAAATGAAACAACCATTGAATAAAATTGGGAATTTCTATCCAAACATTTTGGATAATAAAGGTACACAAGTCAAACAAAAAATATGGCTTAGGTCTAGTCATCTTAATGAACAATTGTTCGTATTATTGTTCTCAAGGAGTTTCCTTTTTTAATTCATTTTTCTAACTTTATTGAATTGAGTTGAGATCAGTGTAACAGACGAAGACTAAAATATTGTGACAGACAAAATAAAAGCCCAATAGTGATTCATGTCTTTTCCTATTGTTTCATCAAATAATCAAAATGTATCACTATCTGATAGCAACCAGCAGAAAGTGCCAAGAAAGGTGCCGAAATGTTTGAATGGAGCAGTATTTACACAATGACTAACTACCTCAGTCATCAGTCTATTTTGGCCGTCTTCTTCAGGACTCTCTGGCATCTTTGATCTTTTCATTATTTGGTTCTGTGCAGAAGTTGCTGAAGAACGGTGAACAAAATGTCAGAGTGAAATACAACTCACTTCTCATAGCTTGAAGGTTTCTGTGGCTACTAGCATAAAATTGCTATTAAACTACAGTATATTAACACTGTCAGTAAAAATAAGCCTTTACATTGCCAATACTGATTATTAATCTTATTCACATCAATATTTCTAATTGAATATGTTCCTGTATCTCACCATTAACCTCCATGGTGTGCTTCTCTCCTTGCAGTGTACTAAAGCACTCTGTCGATGCCACCTTTGAGGACCAGGGCCCCAGTCCAGGCTACCGGATAGAAATGTCCATCTTTTATGTGGTCTACTTTGTGGTCTTCCCTTTCTTCTTTGTCAATATCTTCGTCGCTCTGATCATCATTACCTTTCAGGAGCAGGGAGACAAGGCCTTGTCTGAGTGCAGCTTGGAAAAGAATGAGGTAAGTTGTAGAGCTGACAAACAACTCTGGGCTTCATGTTATTCTGATTTCCAGCATCTAATACACACATGCCACATCATGATCTCTGTTATCATTTTTACTTCTCATCTTTGTTTGCTGGATATAATCAATATTCATTAATTAATTTGTGTGAAATGTTTAATCAAGGTCTGTCCTGTCACTGAATAACTTTTGCTGGTATAAAAACACAGAAGAATGAGGAGACATAGCCATGGTGTTACTTTTGACCAAAATGAAGTTACAGTTTGAATTATTCTGGGTCAGAGATGGGGAACCCTTTTTCCTATTAAAGGTCCAGTGTGTAAGATTTAGGTGAAAGGGAACTATTGTAGCATAATTCTCATGATGTTTTCACTGTTTTTTTTTTCATCTAAATTGTATGAATTGTAGTTTTCTTTACCCCAGAAAAGGCCATTTATATCTAAATATTTTATATTTACATCGAGGGGGTCCTCTCTACTGAGGCTGCCATGTTTTTTACATTAGTCCAGACTGGACAAACTAAACACCTTTTGAGTTTTTATGACAACTGAAGCTACCACAGGTTCTTTTTCATGTTTGGAAGGAGAGGGTGAGGTGAGGGGTGTTCAGCTGCAACATGCAACTTCAACACTTGATATCACAAAATTCTACACACTGTACCTTTAAGTTCCATTTCACTTTTTATCACAGCCTTTGAGGGCCTTACTAAATTCTTGGTATTGATGATGATACTCACTGATTGTTTTAGCTAAAACAACTTTCTCAAACAAATTCTCACCTTTGCTAGAACCTGCTAGTTTGTTATTTCATCCCATGCAGTTTTTTTGTCTCAATTGTTCTAAATGCCATGTATGTATGTAAATGTGACCAAGTGTATCCTTGCATTCACTAGAGACTAAGTTCTTCTGAAATGATGAAGACGCGCTCGGTGTGGTTCCTTTGTTACAGAGGGCATGCATTGACTTCGCCATTAATGCCAAACCTCTGACGCGCTACATGCCCGTGAACACGCAGTCCTTCCAGTACAGGATGTGGAAGTTTGTGGTCTCAGCTCCGTTTGAGTACTCCATCATGATCATGATTGCTCTCAACACTGTGGTACTCATGATGAAGGTAAGTGCCCCTGAATGATTTTGATAATGTAAAACAGATTTGATACAGTCGGCCAAGCTTTTTCACATATTTTCTGAAGCTGGGCCTGGATTTATTAGCACAGGAAAATAAGGAACTGCAGAAAAAACGATTTGATTATAATTTAACTGATTAATTTAAAAGGTCAAACAGAATAGGAGACACACGAGCTGGACTGAACAAAACTAAACCGAACAGACAACTTGACAAAGTTTGACACGGAGACTTAAACATTAGCATAGGTGCAGACGATCACAAGGACAGGAAATAGGACAGAGACAGAAGAGTTAGAATGCGTTTCTCAAAATGTTGAACAGTTGCTTTAACAGTGTTACATCAGAAAGGACAACGTGATCAGTGAGACTGTTCTCTTAAAACCCCCTTCACCCCTGTCTTTCAGTTCCATGGAGCTCCAGACTTCTATGAAGCCATGCTGAAGAATCTCAACATCGTCTTCACCACTCTCTTCTCTCTGGAGTGTATCCTCAAAATCATCGCTTTCGGTCCACTGGTGAATACCATTGACAGAGTCTGAATGTCCATATCACTGGATAGAAACTAAAGGTTTTCATCTGCTGTTTTTCAGAACTACCTAAAGGACGCCTGGAACGTGTTTGACTTTGTGACAGTGTTGGGCAGCATCACTGACATCCTGGTGACCGAAATCAATGTAAGAGCACTGGCACCCGCCCACTCCACCACTCACCTCAACAACATGAATGCACCGCATCCACACAGCACTGCTGTCATGCTAATGAGCTGAAGGCAGCAACAGCATGTACAGCAGGCTTGTGAGCGAGTCTTTTGTTAATAAGAAGGAGAAACCATCCGGGAGCTAGGGATGGACGACTTTGAATCCATTCTTTAATGTGTGATTTCCTGTGTTTACTGTGTTTGACCAATTGTTCTTTTCAGTGCACCTACCTGTGTGTACACTGTGACAAAGCCTTTAATGGATTTACATGTGTGTATTTGTTGACCTGTATCACTTAATGTTGTGCAATATGACTGTTCCTCTTCTCTCCTTTCTCCTTCCTTTCTACTCCCCTGTGCTGTCCGTACTCTGCTACTCACTACTTTATCTCTCTCTCACTCTCCCTCCTTCCCTGCATTTTCATCTTGTTGATTGTCGTCACTGGTGTTCCCATACCTTGGTCCCAAATTTCACTAGACAACGGTGAGTGACACTCTGAAACCATTCCCTGCTCTTAGCTCACATAGTGTTTTAGTTTATATGTATATATAATGCAAGCCTGTGAGAGTTGCACTAAAGAGAATGGTTAAAATTTGACAGATGCCATACAGTTGTAGAAGACTGTCTCCACTTAATGTTTTATCATTCCATGTTCTGAAAATACTAAAGACCATGAAGATAATTGGAACATTTATTAGTATTCACTTGATCCCGTTATTCCTGAGTTCAATAAAAATGATAATGTTCAGTAGTTCAATAAAACAAGTTTAAAAATCCACAGCTGTTGAAGCCTATGTGAGAGAAGAGAGAACAGTCTTCTTCTTCTTCTGATACATCTTAATGCCAACAAACTGACAACATGTTCCCCCAGCTCTCAGCAGTATAAACCATGATGGCAAAACTGACCTTGAAACATTGGATCACTTTAGTATTGATGGAACCAAATTCAGGTTGATTGAATTTGAATGCATCTTGAATATGTTTATACCCGGCCCGAGCATGCTTGTTAAAGGGGGTCAGCATGTCAGCAGTTTATCAACCCTGAAAAGGTTACTTCATGATGTCACACATGTTTGTAACAGGACAGGCTGCTGAACCTGAGCTTCCTGAGGCTGTTCAGAGCCGCTCGGCTCATCAAGCTGCTGAGGCAGGGTTACACCATCCGCATCCTGCTGTGGACCTTCGTTCAGTCCTTCAAGGTGCTCACACACATTATTACATGCTCACTGACATACTGCGTGTACAGTATATTAGCATGCACGTGCACATTGGCTAGTTTACTTTTACAAATTCATCCAACCACATACCTGCACCCACAAACTCAAACACCTTGGCTGAAATAATTCAGAGTGGATATTAATTATTGAGTGTCTTGGTTTCCTATTGTTCCCTTTAGGCCCTGCCATATGTCTGCCTGCTGATTGCTATGCTGTTCTTCATTTATGCCATCATTGGGATGCAGGTGCGTGATGCCTCTCTGCTGTGGACACATACAGTGCACTGTTAAAATGTTGTGGTCAAAATGTAAAATATATTAAGTGCACATTGTTAAGACAGTGTGAATCGATTCCCCTCACTGTGTCTCTACTATAGGTGTTTGGCAACATTGACCTGAATGAGGACACAGCAATCAATCACCACAACAACTTCCGCACGTTCCTTCAGGCTCTCATGCTGCTGTTCAGGTAAAAGAGGCTTTGCTGTACTCGACATGTCTCATCAGCACATTAGGCAACCATGACCAGATACAGACAGTTTTCCATAAAAATGGCATCAGTTGGACCTCCGGGGGGAAGACAGCGAAGGATGTAAGGAGCAACTATAGCAAGTTTAGGGCAGAATACATATGTTTGAGTTAAAATGACTTCCTCTTTAATTGCAAAACATAAAAATTGAGTGAACCACAACGAATAGGCCTTTAAAAGAAAACTGAAAAGCTTTGCGTTTTAGCATTGTTAGTATTAAAATAATCTTAATAATTTCAATTAGGAATATTTAATCTTTTATTTTAATAATTAAAATAAAACATTGACACGTTGATATAGTAGCATACAGTAAAACAATGTCTGCCAACCAAGTCACTTCAGATTCAAGTGCACTTTTTAATTCAACTTCTGTTGAGTCTACATTTTCTGACTTTCTCTGCAGAAGGTATTCATTGAAACAATGCCTGTTCTTTATGTCCCTACTGTGTTTCTATGTGTATCAGGAGTGCGACTGGTGAGGCCTGGCAGGAAATCATGTTATCATGTTTGAGTCACCGAGCCTGTGATGAGCGATCAGGGACCGATGGGAAAGAGTGTGGCAGTGATTTTGCCTACTTCTACTTTGTCTCCTTTATCTTCCTCTGCTCCTTCCTGGTCAGTACTGAAGCACGCTACTGTAATATTCAGCTGCTGGGCTGGGGAACTGATTTACTAACTAGGGCAGACAGTTAATGATAAGCTAACTTATATAATATTTGCAGAACTTAAAGGTACAGTGTGTAGACTTTTGTGATATCTAGTGTTGAAGTTGCATGTTGCAGCTGAACACCCCTCACCTCACCCTCTCCTTCCAAAATGAAAAAGAACCTGTGGTAGCTTCAGTTGTCATAAAAACTCAAAAGGTGTTTAGTTTGTCCAGTCTGGACTAATGTAAAAAACATGGCGGCCTCTGTAGAGAGGGTCCCCTCCATGTGAATATAAATTATTTAAATATAAAGGGTCTTTTCTGGGGTAAAGAAAACTACAATTCATACAATTTATATGAAACAAACTAGTGAAAACATCATGAGATTATTCTACATTCTACTGCCATTAGATCCCTTTCACCTGAATCTTACACACTGGACCTTTAAGTGGTAGTCCTACTGTTTCTCTGACATTTCTGCAAACGTTCTCTTTCTTGTTCTGTCTCTATAAAGTACATCTTCTACTTTTATCAGACAACAGCAGGTGCCCTTTCTGCAACACAGTGTGGCAGTATTGCTCGAATCCTTCTCATGTTGAAATATAACTCTCTTATTTGCGTCTACTCACATCGCCTGGTGCATATTTCTGACTAGTCTTCGCATTGATGCACTGATGAAAAATTCGCTTTGCATTTGGTCTGAACACACACATATCTGCTAGCACACATTTGCCTTATTAGAGGCTTATCACTCAGTTGAAGGAAAAATAAATGTGACATGTTCATGGCTTTTGAAAGAAAATGCTTTTTTACATATTTCACCCCCAAGAAAGGCTTTGCCACACACTGAGGTGAATGACCGTTTAAATGTAGAAATAAACTCACTGCGAATGTGCTGTGATGCACTGCCCTGCTCTTTTTACATATTTTACAGCCACAATACACAAATTTGTGTATTGTGGCCATCATAAATATTAGGGACATACACGAAAACAGACCTTTTTTGAAATTGGTCTGTGAAAATGCCTGCAAATATAAACCTGTCAGGGTTTATCCTCATGGTAATTCAGATATTATTGATAAGAACAAGGAATCACCAGAAAGAGAAGGCTGAGACACGATGCCCTCTCTGCTCTCGTCTCTCCGCCGTTTTTCTTCCTCTCAATGCCACAATGCATGATGGTATATAAAGCTTGGTTAGTGACCATCGGTTGCACACTTTTTTTTATTTTTATGATGCACTGTGGGATAAATTGAGTCCACTATATAGGGTATAAAGACCTCCACTAAACATTTGGACAGCACTACAAAATAGCAAAATCACTATATATTGTGGACCATATAGTGATTAATGAGTGATTTCGGACATAGCCAATAACACAGCTTCATTGATGGTTGCCATCTTCGTCTATCCTTCCTCGTCTTTTGTCCTCTTTCTGTTGCATCTCAATGTGACCACTGGAGACAAATTAAAATACTAGGTAGAAACATGATCAGGTTAAAATCTTACACACAATCTGAATTCGAGATCCATTTCAATACCGGATGTAAATAGTCATAGTTCATGAGGTTTAAACTCAACCTAATGTCTGTGTTCCAGATGCTGAATCTATTTGTGGCTGTCATCATGGATAACTTTGAGTACCTAACCAGAGATTCCTCCATCCTGGGACCTCATCACCTCGATGAGTTCATCCGGGTTTGGGCCGAGTATGACCCGGCTGCGTGGTATGTTCAAACCTCCCTCTGGGCCACAGAGGATATCATACAAAGTAAAGTGGATAGAATAGACATCCTAACCTTACTGCTCTCTTCCTCCTTTGGTGACTAAGGTGACTTCATGAGACCTCATACACAGGCCTCATTCCTTTACCTTGTTGTATGCAGTCAGCCCACTGATGATCATTGTTTTATCTTAAGATGTCCTTGAACGTTTGTTTATTTATCTGCTTGTTCTTTTCCACAGTGGACGGATTTCCTATAAGGATATGTACAATTTGTTACGCGTTATCTCACCCCCCCTTGGCTTAGGGAAGAACTGCCCTAATAGGGTAGCATACAAGGTTTGCAAATATCAGACATTTCCGTCACCAGGGTGCTTTGTGTACCTCTATACCAAGAAACTTTAACTGAATGGCTGTGCACCGATGAAATCGCCTTTAGTCTAGCACCTGCCCCTCCAAACTGACTGGCTTTGGTTAATGATGCCGGAGTGGAAACAAAGCTTTCAAAGCCACGGCATTGTCCCAAAATGCCGCCTGCCATGCCTACTTTCTCCTGTCTGTAATGTTTAGATGGCAGACATGTTTCACTTTCCATTATTATCAATAATCAATCAATAATTATCCACTCAATTGTTTAAAAAAAGAAAAACAGAATTGAAAGAAAAAGTCTTGAAAAGTCTTCAAGTCTTTAACAGAAAAAAAGTCTTGAACGGAGAATGTGACACTTCATTCAGATCTTTAAAACAGCTGAATCAGGTCAAAACCCTTGTGGAGACTTTTTGATCGTTCTATGAAGACATACTCTAGTGGAAAGTCAGGCTATGAGTGAAAGCCCCAAACAAGTGCTTGGGCTGGCATTGAAACCTTCGTCTCTGTGTGTCCTGGTTGAAGTACCAGTGGGATGTTTGCTAGCATGCCCAGGCAGACATCCCTGTTACGATGCTGTCATTTCTCTTCCCTCCCATCAGCATCCTGTGTGTCAGGTCCACGCATCCACCTTTCTTCTCTCCCCTCCTCCCTCTCTCACCAAACTCACTCTTTACCATCCCATCTCTCCTCTCAGGGATCCTGAGCTCCACAGCGATGCATCCCCGTGCCCCGACACAGTGGCCGAGGATGGCATTCACATTACATCTCACTTAAGGAAATCTATTAACAACAGATTTCTGTTTTTCCTTTCCATTATTCTCTTATTTTGTTGATTTCTTCCCTTTGCTCCTCTCCTCCTCCTCTGACTCCCCATCCTTCTCTGTTTGGGTTTTGTTTATTCTTGATTTCCTTCCCTGTGAAGTGGGCGTATCAAGTACCGCGATATGTATCAGATGCTGCTCCACATGTCCCCACCCTTAGGTTTGGGAAAGAAATGTCCACCAAGAGTCGCCTACAAGGTAGACCCTCTTCTTCCTCTACCTTCTACCCTGTGCTCGACAACCTTTCTTCCACTGGTGTGAACTCAAGCCAGTGTCTGTGCTCCCTCGTTTCTTCACTTTGTCTTTGCTAGCGTTCTGATATATTTTGGTGTAGGCCCCGACCTCATCTTTATCATCTTTAATGTTCCTCTGAGCATAGCTGCCTGTGTAGGCTAATAACAATCACTAATTAAAATAACACATAGAGATGAAATAAAAATACTTTAAAAACATTAATTAAGATATATTGTGTTTATGTAGGAAATTTGCTCAGATGTCACTATTTCTTTGAAATGTATGTCCTAGTTGGGGTTTTATTTTGTGGAGCAGTGTGTGTGTAGAAGGCGCGAGTGGAGCAGTGTGTGTTTGCGTGAGTGTGTAGCTTTTGTTGCTTTTCTGTACATACAATTATTTCTGTATCTCTATGCTTTCCTCTTTGTGCTTCTGTCTTTGCTGCCCTTTCCCTCTCATTCTTTCTCATATTTCATCTCAGTCTATCAACTGGGGAAAATATGTGTGTGTGTGTGTG